TTTTCTTGCCTTTATATCCCCAGTGCTATAAAAGGATTTTAAAAAAGACACTAAAAAAACTAATGAGGATTCATCTCTAGTTGAACAGGTAGAGAAATCACTTTGAAATCCAGGTTTTCGTAGTTCAGGTTTCATCTGGGAAGAACTGCACACAAGGGAAGAAACGTCAAATGAAAGGTAATCCTTCATTTGACATGGTTATCTTCTTAACTGCAATTGCAACACCCCTGCTATTTCACTTCACCTAAATTTATTCCATCAAGCACACACTTATCCATCTGTGTGCATTTCACACACTTTGTTTTATGCTAGTGTTTCCATTTTACATTTGTAAACAGATGTGCCAATAAAAGGGTAAGTAGCTGAGAAAGCTTAGTGTTGCTGTCGGCTATTGGGAAGGGATAGCAAGCAGCACTCTCTGTGAGGCCAGGCCAGAAAAATACATTCATGAGTAAATCCCAGATGGGCACAAATGCAGCAGCCTGATCTGTTGGCTGGAAATGCCAGCCTCTCTCCATAGCCAAGCCCACTCCGCAAATCTGTAATGTTTTTCCTTTCCTTTTTTTCCTCCTTTCTTTGAATCTACCGTGGTTCTTAAGCACGCAGAACTTCCAACAGACCACATACACCTTGAAGCCTGAAAACAAAAAGGAGCCTTGAAATGGGTTCTGATCTCTGGGGATCTAATTAATTTACTGATAGCAGTAAGTGCTTTTACAACCTGAGCTCGTTTCAAACGTGTCACATCATTTTACTGAACACGTTTTCTTTGTCACACTTAGTAGCCCCTAATAAATGAGTTGTACACTCTCACTTCTTATTTATTAAAACGACCTAAACAAAACAAAAATTTGTTTGGTTTAATTATAGCACTTCGTATTTTCCTGAAATTCAAATGCTTTTCTGTTTAACTAATGGTGTTAATGAACAATAAGCGTGAAACTTCTAAAAGCCTGTTGTCACAGCAAGCAGGTGACTTTTTTCTTAGGATGTCAACTCTCTGATGAGGGGTGAAAAAGTTAAGGTTTTTTTCTGTATACCTTAGTACATCAGGAAAACACCTGAATACATCCTGTTGACTTTCCAGGGCTAAGCAAGAGAAAAGATCTGTTGAGGACACTGAGCAGCAACCCTCGCAAGCAAGACATCAACTTGGAGATTTAGCTACCTGTTTCAATCCTTTTGGTTAAAACCAATAGGAAGGTTATTGTGAAAAAAACCTCTTGTAGTGCTCTGACTCCTTTTATCCCAGTGTGACTTTTACAACAAGCTGTTACAGCAAAAACTTGAAGCCCTCATTCACTTCCTCCTGGTATGAAGCTTCAAGCACTTTCAAGACGTCCTTAGTACACAATTCTGTTAAGTGACTTTTCCTTAAGTGACTAACTCTTTTCTTCTGAAGGTTGTGCTGATCAGCCACGCATCAGGCTGAAGGCGCCAGTTGGTAGTTTTTCTTTACTTTCCTGGGGCACCAAGCAGGATCATGTTGCCAAACACATACAAAAGCCAACAGCAGAGCGGCAGTGGGGCTCAAGCTGTGGAGTCCTCAGCTCCAAGCGACTGTGGCAAAACACCCAGTATCAGTAGTAGGGCTAAGATTTTGCCATAGTCTTGACTTGTATTGGGATATGATGATTGATTTACCCAATGTGGCACAGCTTTGTCAAGTTGAATGAAAGCTGGCACTCTGAAAAAGCAACGGGGTAACAGAGAAGGCTTTTATTGTAGGGGGTTTTTTTATTATTTTTGATGCAGACTTTGCTGTGCTTGTCCTCACTTTTAACAGCTCAGGATCAGCTTCACACACTAATTTGTGCTTGCACTACAGCTGGACTTCAGGCATTTTTTCCTGGAAGTTACTCCAAAAAGCAGAAATAAATAATTTAAGAGCTAGGAGAAAGATAGTATGGTGTTTAAAAGTACTCTGACATTTTTGGTTTGCAAGCTTTCAAAATAATTATTTTTTTCTTTGTGAAAATCTGCATGATTTTGGATTTTCTTTTGCAAGATCCTCCCTAATTCCCTTGTGGGCTTACTCCTGAGGAATAAACATGCCTGTCAGAGAGGCATTTGCCTGAGAGACAGGGCTCAAGCTTCTGCGCTGTCTATCCATGTGTGACGCCAGGAGTGTCACTGTCTGTGCTCTGCAGGCTGGCTGCTCACCTCAGCTGTGGTGGTCCCCTCTTCATCTTCCTGGTCTGCTTGCAGCATGGAAGCAACTCAGACCTAGGTTTGAACCTCATTTTTTCCACACTAGAAAGTTAAATACAAGATGTTGTTCTGCAGTTATGTATGACTGACATCACAATATGCTGTTGTCTCCTTGCATCGTGTCAACCATCCAAACTCAGACCAGCCTTTAGCATTTGTGAAAATACACCGAAGGGTTGAAACAGCAGTGTTTAAGAGGTTCTAGATAGTTAATTTCTCATATAAGAAATTAAGTTTCTATATCTGAGTAGTTTCCTAATATTGCAAATACTGCTGTGTGATAGGTACTATTGTATTCTTTTTTCTTTTTCTTTTTTACTTTTTTTACTTGCAAACCAGCCACTTTGGTACATTGTAATTTCAGTGTGCGCCTGTTTTCTCACACCAGAAAGCACAAGCTTACAGCACACCTAATTTTTATTTCTACTGGTAATTAGGGATGAAAATGCATCTCGCTTCTCTTCTACAAGGAATAGAATGAAATCGTCACCTAAAAATCAGTGTTAAAAATATTTAAAGCAAGAATCAAAGCTGTGATGTTGTCTCAACAAAGGCAGGATAGTGTTTTAATACATCGTTAAAGTGAGTAGAAGTAAGCTGGAAAATTCTGTTCGAAATACCTTTTTTTATATGGATTAAAATCCTAACCAAAACCTTGCTGATACAGGCTTTCCAATGCTTCCTGTTTTATAAAATCATCTTCTGTTGCATATTATTTCCC